GCAGAAACATCCCGTGGAATCATCCACCACCTTTGCATGGCAGCCATATATCGCGAGGCATAGTCTTGCGTTTCCCATGCTGAAAAGGGCCAGCGCACTTGCTACATTGTCCAAAGCTTGCCCCTCAAGGCAACTCGAATCCCTTGCCGGAGGGGAGGGGGCGACTGGCAACATGACTTGAAGGCTCCAAAGCATACCAGCAAACAAGCCGTTGATCCAGCCAGCCTTTCGTGCTTTGGCAAAGCAAATTCGAGCGTGTCTGAAAACCAGGATACGCGCAACCTGGGCAACTTCCTGTTGGCTTCCCCCCCCAAAACAAAAAACAAAAAGCAATAGGTACCCTCATACCCTCAAAAAAAACACCTGTTATGATTCTCAGCTGGCATGCGCACTCATTCCCCTTAAACAGAAAATCCGCCGACCCTCTGCCTCCCGTCCCAGCCTCCTGCAGAGGGGACCGGCGTGGGATGCAACTGGAAGTGATTGGAATCAATGATAGTCCCTGGGGGGCACGCCCGAACCCACAAAAAGTGGATTCCCAGGACCGGTCCCGGGACCGGTCCCGGGACCGGTCCTGGGACCAGTCCTGGGACCAGTCCTGGGACCGGTCCTGGGACTGGTCCTGGGACGCTGGTTCTGCTGTTTCAGATTACTTGCAGTCAGCCAACAGGACCGGTCCTGGGACCAGTCCTGGGTCTGGGAAGCCGGTCCCGGGTTTCCGGACTGGCACCCAGGACGCTGGATAGGGTCCCAGGTAGGTTGTCACTGATTGCGACCAGTTGAGGGGGACCAACAGCCTTGTTTCTAGGACCAGCTCAACGTGACTTCGGCACAAACCGGCCCGTGCGGTTATTGACGGAGCTGTCATCTGTCTGACTTTTCCGTTAATCCTTGTGGTAGTAGAGGATCCCTGGATCCATTCTGCAAGAGAGTCCAAGACGTCGAGTCAAACCGCGCCAGACTGGGACCAGCCTGGATAGGGTCCCAAGTCCCGGTCCCTGCCGGCGACCGGTCCAGGGCAACTTCGGGAGGGCCAGTTTCAGGGCGACCCCGGGAGAGGCGCCAACTCGAAGTGACTTGGGCGCAAGCCGGCCCAAGCGGTAATTAACGGACTAGCTGCCCTATTTCTGACTTTTCCGTTAATCCTTGTTTGTGGTCGTAGAGGATCTTCTAAGTGGTCCCCGGGTTTGCGGACGTGTTTCAGGACCGGTCCTTGTGACTTTTCCCTTAATGCGCCGAGGGTCGGCGGCAGCAGGCGGGAGCCTGGTTAATAAGAAACTAAAGTATGCTCCTCAAACCTAGCATGAACACCAAGATGGTCATCAAGGGGTTTTTAGCTTGACCTTCAGACTAATCTATATAACACATGAAACCAGGAAGCACTTGGATGTCGAACCTGTGAAGTCAGCAGATGTACCATTGTTATAAAAGAACAAGCCCTTCAAGCCCCTTTTAACAAAGTTCAACAAGGGATATAGCCTACTTGCATCACTTCCTGAGTGGATGGGCCAACAAAATCCAAACCCAACGCTAAAGTCCAGGAAGTCGTTTCTCAGGATCCAAATAGAACCTGACATGGGCCATAGCGCTGTTCATGCTTAAGGACCCTCAAGCTGACGCAAACATAACGCATCTGGCAATGAATATATAGACAGTATTGTACATGTTGGATCTGTCAACATAAAGGAGAACCCGCGAACGAAAAAAAACAAGAAGAAAGTGCGATTTTGCTTTTGGCTTCCCTTCAAGACAAACTGAACAGGGTGCCCTCAACCGAAACACACACACACATGACATACGTATACATGTGTGTATAAATGGGCCCTGTCACAGGATAGCCTCGTAACTTGAAAGCAATACCCCGACTTTTGATTTTGGAACTCTGGGTGTGAGACACACCGCTGCTAAGCATCCGTATGGGCTGCTTTTTGACCAAACAGTGCTGGGAGTGGCAAGCCCTAGCTTCCAACAGTAGAACCACGGACCTCACTCGACTCGAGGCTTATCAAACCATCTGAGTTGGGATCTCAAGTTCGCGGGACCATGGAACTCTTACCCCGGAAGATGCTTGGACGTCTTTATGTTGGTTTCCTTTTGAACTCTGAAAGAGGGTCAGAAGCTACAGTGGATTCCAGAGATTAAAAAGGATCGGCACTCATGTCTGTTTGGGCAGCTGATGTCAAGCAACCCACTACAATGTAGGCGTGTCGCTTTAGCGGACAGAAAATGGTGAAATGGCTTTCATGTGTCCCTTTCACACCGACCAAAACACCGGGCCCTCCAAAAAGCAACATTTTTTAATGGGACCCCCCCCACCCCCAAAAACAAAACAAGAAGACCAAAGAGCATCAGTGTTCCTTCTATGTCCCTTTCATGCCGGTTCTCTCAACAAAAAAAACGCAAAACACGAGCGCCCGCCCATTTGGATATCCCGATGCCGAGGTGCGGTTGATGGCTTTCAGGTCCCGGCGCTTGGAGCGCTCCATCTCCGCTTCAGCGCCTCGGATCCGAGATGAGACCGCCCGAAATGTCAGGTAGCCCTGGAGTTTTGGGATTTGAACCCTTAACCAAACCAAACCAAACCAATCCAAACCAATCCAAACCAATCCAAACCAATCCAAGCCAATCCAAGCCAATCCAAGCCAATCCAAACCACCAATCAGAGGGAAGCTGACAATGGTAAAAATGTGGGCTGTGTCCATGGGAAGACACTCTATGTAGATGATATTAGTAGGGGGCAGCCAGGTTTTTGTTGCAACCGTACCAAGGGTTGCGACGTTTTTCAGAAACACGTCCCACCCCAAACAATCCACGTGGGTGATTTTGGCACTCCCTCAGGCGAACAGCCGGAAGCTCCCCCAATGGGCCTTCCAAAGGGGTCCGCTCGGGAGCTTCCATGTTAGTCTGGGGGAGGGTACCCATATTTACCCTCAGAATCTGTCTGGGATGGCACATGTTTCTAAGAAAATCTTCACAGGCCTTGGTGTGGCTCAAAAAACACTGCTTTTTTTTGCAGCCCCCTACAAAACATGAACAGAACCAAAAACAACCAAAACTTGGCAAGAACAGTGAAGGAAACCAGTTTGGACTTTGTGACCCATCCAACTTCCTATGCGAGCTGCTTTCTCTTCGATCCTGCAAAAAATGGCTCTTTTGAGGGCACCTTCTCGGTGGCTTTAAAGGAAACCAGAAGACCAGGCACCACTAATTTCAGCGCATTTTGAGACAGACCCAAGTGGGTGTCTCATTTTGAGACAAACCCAAATGGGTGTGTCTTAAAATAGGGGAACCCCTCATATGGACCATACACTCCGGAAATTTCCAGGCAACCTCATACCAGGGTGTTTTAAAGAGAAGCCAGAACGGAACTGTCTTGATGACTTGGTTGTTAGCGTATTTAGATCAACTTCAACACATGCATCATATCAGAGAAGACCTCAGAAATGGGAAGTGCTTCAACATGGAACACAGTTGTTCTATTACTTTGGGAGACAAGCAGTACACTCTCGACAAGGCAGCAACGCTGTGAGTTGAGGCGTCTGTGTTTTCCCATTCAAGTAGCATTCGCACTTGACAAATCTTAGAATGGAGTAACAGCATGAAGCAGCGGTCAAAACGGTCCCCACCTACAAAACCGAATCACTTGGAGATTGTGAAGCTCAAGGAAATGCTGTTGCAAGCCTACTCCCGTTTGCTTGGTCTGTATTTTCCCTGGTTTTTGTTATTCAGTGTTTTGAACTTCTTGCAACAAGGCCCTGCAATCACTCCACAAAAGCAACTCTGGCAGGAGATTCCAAGATCTCTGCTCAAAACTTGCTTCTAGGCAGCAGGATATGGGCTTGTTGCTTTTGAGTGTAATCTTTTGGGGTTGTGTTACCGGGACACCCAAGCATCCACACGCACGCGTATATGTCTATATATATAAGTGTTTCCCTGTTTGGAGACACATATTGAAATTTGAGTATATAATTTCTCAACAATGAGTTCACATCTCTGCGATGTGACACACGAGTTCAAAGCTTCAGTCATGTTCTGTGGCAAGTCCATCGTTGTCCAAGTTTTAGTATTTCGCAGGGGCATTGTGCAAGGAAGACTGCACAATTATTCGCTCATGCAAATCTGCTTCATGATAGTGTCAACATGTACCAGAAAAGCTCAAAGGATTTAGCCAAGCCAAGACAAGTACTGCGGAAAGCACAAACTATGCTTCTCGCCCTCACTTTGTCTCTGCCAAACACCGCCTTTGGTTGGCGCGCTTTTTAATGCGTCAAAAGATTGCCACGTGCTCGCTGCACGGCAAGCGCAACGTCTTCGCCAAAGCTGTCGACGGCAAGCGAGGCTGCCACGTGCAGCCATGAATATGACTAATTAATGATAACCGTACTACATAATTCCTAAAAGAACTTCATGCATCTGTATGCGTGTGTGTTTCAGTTGGGGGCTGTACTGCACCCTCTTTCAGAGGTGCTCATTACAGGCGGGTGCATGTAAACACCGAGGCACACCCGAACTCTTGTCTCTTCCGTGTCGATTTGTCACTTCCATGTTTATTTCACCGAGGCATTGGCTCCCAACTTCAGGATGCCTCGATTCACCCGTGAGCCATCCGAGAGATTCACAAAACATCTTGCCAAAGCCGTCTCACAAGTAGCAGAAAGTGCACAAAGCTTCAAGGAACACCACCCAGAAATGATTGTGAAGAGTTGCCAACATGTAAAGCTTTTGCGCTCATTCAGGGATCCATTGCCCTTTGAACAACCTTGCTGTGATGTTGTACACCCTTCAAAGCCTAAACGCTAAAATGTTGTTGCTAGCCAAACTCTCAATCTGTGCCATCAAAGCTCCTTATGTGATGGTCATGGCTCCCCGATGGGTGGAGCAAACGGGTATTTAGACCATGGCACATATCTTGGCCCAAATGTGGGGCACAAAGAAAGCAATATCTTCAGGGGCCGTTTCATGTTTAGTCTACCAAAGTGCAAACCCCGGATCAGGTAACGCCTAATTGGTGGCTTGGATTGGTGGCTTGGAGAGAAAGACAACTGCAGGTATTTGTACTTGGCCCGTTTCTGGACATAATTTAAGAATGGGTTTAATAATTGAAACATACTATATATATATACACATGAATATTGACAACAAGTCGATCCACATCGCAATCTACCCACACTCAACAACGTGGTGCCACCAACTGTGCTCTCCTCTGCCGCTCTTGGCTCTCCGTACCACAAGTGCCGATCGCAATTCAAACAATTATTGGCCAAGCTTTGAGCCGTTTTCCTGGGCAGATATACAACACACACACACACACACACACGCACCGGGCAAACAGGTTGAAGCACACGCGGACCCCCTGTGGGTTGGTATTCAACGGGAAACCAAAAGGAATCCGCCAGATTTTGGGGTCCCGTACTTGAAGAAACACCCATATTTGCTGGAAACGCATCTCACATACTACATGTCGTTCTGCCAGCTGGTCTTTGCGTTGGCCAAAGTCAGCAAGTTCTTCTAGCGACACAGCAGCTGTATGCTCTCACAAAGAGGCTGTTCACTGAGGACACAGGCCTCGGCTGACTTTCGTCCGTCATGTCCAAAGCGGTTTGCCTTTTTGGCTAGACACAAACGAGTATGTCACAAAATAGAGGAAGCCCCAAAATACTATAGTTGGCTTCCGTTTGGCTTCTCTTTAAATCAACCCAAAAAGAGGCCCCGAACAAAGACACACCCAAACATTTGATTGTGTCTGGATTGAAACTAAGGACGGGGGATGGTCATGGCTTCCCATACCAACGGTGGGGTGTTCCCTATCGAGCCACAGCCATTGATCAAAAGCCATAGTCGCCTCATGGCATTGGTCCAGAGGCAACCGAACAACTTGGGGAGGGGGTCAGCTTCAAAGGGACTCGGATCAGTGGCGGATTTCCTGACACATTGAGGTCAGAAGCCCAAACAACTGTGTGTGCTTTTGGTGCCCCTCAGAGACCCCAAAAAGGGACCCATGGCCAAGTTCGCAGCTAAATTCGGGACAAGGTACCCGCCATCTTCCAACTAACATCTCCCTGGCAACCATATCACGCTGAAATCAAGGTGTCCCGCACAAAAGGGATGTTTTAAATCAAACTACGGGTTGCTCAGCAAGGGAAAACACTGGTTTCAGTGACTCACTGCCACGCAGTGTTTTGAAGCATGAGCTGCAGATTAACCTGGCATCCCACCCCATCTGTGTAGAGAAACCTGCTTTTAGGGCTGGGGCAAGGACGCGGGACCAGAAGCACTTGTCGGATCCGAACGTAGAGAATTCATCACAGCCAAAGTGGTTCCTTTGAGGCACCCTGTTCAGCAGGACTCCAGGACCCTTCTGAAGAATGGGTCCGAGTCCCGCAAGGAGACAATCGGAGAGCCCGATTCTTTAACGATGGGATTTCCATGGGTTGGAAGAAACGAGAAAGCAAAACAGATCGGTGTCCATGTCTTTGGTGGGGAAATGAACCTATTTTCCAAGGGTTCTATTTCGTCCTTGCCCAGTGTCTCCTTTTGGCCAAACCAAGCTTCACTTCCCCCAGGGCTTTGCTCCTTAGCTGGCCCGGCATCGAGGCGAGGGCCGCCCGAGGTCGGGGCATGACTTTGCTGCCCACCGCCTCGTGGGCGAAGGTGGCCTCCTGGGTGCACTGGGTCACGTCCAGCGGCTGGTTCGCCTCAGCGACTTCAGGGGTCCGACGGCTCCTCCGTCGGACACGTCTGGAGAAAAATGGCCAAATATATGCATGTGATAGATTCCCGAAGCCATTCAGGGAAAATAATCATGTAGTTCTCAAACCAATAGACAGTGGTCGAATAAGACCAAACCTGGGCGATGATAGTGCTTTTAACGCTCAACCGATAGCACTATAAAGCCGATCAACGCTCAACGCCGAACGCAAACACGATCTCATCTCTATTAATGCATATCTGGGAAATCAAGCAAGCGAGGCGAAGCTCATGCCAGCTTCAACCAAGTAGTGACAGCATATTGCGCTTCAGGTCAAACAAATGGACAAAGTCGCTGAGCCAATGCGAAGAACGAGCAACCACCTGCCTCAGCAGCACAAGTGATGAACGACGGACAAGCATGATGGAATTCCTATTGACAATGCCAGGCTTACACATATTTACGCAAGCATACCCAGTCCAAGCACTTTGTTTTTAGCCACATCTACATTCGATTGCCGGAAGGTGGTACATCGAGCCTCCGGTTTGTAGAGCACCAGCAGCTGGTTGAAACACCATCACGACTTGGCCGGCCTTATAGATGCCCTCGAAGCTGAAGGAGTTCTTCGGCAGCGTCTCTTTCCATGCCTGGCGTTGAACACGCACCGGCTGGCCGAGGTGGACCAACGGAAGCTTCTCCAGGAAAGCCTTGGTTTTCCAATCGGATCAGGTTTCATGACCGCTTTGGAAGAATTGGCTGCAGTTGTCGGTTGTCCAACATCTCCAGAAACTTTCCCACATCTGAATGCAAAG